CCTAGCTAAGGCCAGGGCCAGATGTCACCAAAGCGCGCATTGTCTGGCCAGGCGGGACAACATGAACATTTGCTGCTGCAGTAGCTGTCGATACTCTCATGCTAGGTGCAGAATGTTGCAGACAATTTCACAATCGACCGCCCGGAAGAATCTTGACTTGTCCCGGAATCAAACGCGAACGGCAGAGAATCCTAAAACATCTGCCAACCGAGACGTTGAGAATGCATGCCTTCTTTTCTGCTCAGCATGAGGAGAATGCGACTGCATGGCGTGATGCCAAGAAGCAGAGCTTCTGAGGACTAATGACTAGGCATCTATCTGAAGATGCCATGGAGAAAATGCGCTGCGGAGGCTGCCAGGCTCTGAAACAAAATCGACCCCGAAACCACGATCGAACTGTGTGGAACTGTTTACTTTGCTGAGGGTTCACGTCCGCGACGCCCCACAGCTCCGCCAGCAGGCATATGTTTGCTGTACAAGGCTGTACAAGACACATCTTGAAAATCAAACAACTTAAGAGAAGCGAAGCTTCATCTCAAAATCAGGGGACAGGAAGATCCGCCTGCAGGGCTCGCTGGCAGAAGCGCCAAGTCTTCTAAGCATCTTTGCCCGTGATCTTCTCGTAGATCTCTCGGACCTCTCGCGGCGAAACTTACCGGGCAGCTGTTCCGAGATCGGGACACCAGCCATCATTTAGGCCCGGCGAACACGGCCTAGAAATAGAAACTCGAGATTATGCGTTTACTATGTCTCAATGGCAGCATGGAGACTGCGTGACTAGGACTTCTGCACTGCCGGGTTTCGGCTTGAAAATGACATGCTAAAGGTCCTAAAGGCAAGACCACAACACCCAAGCTTTGCGCGTCCACACCTTCATGGCGATCACAGTCTGAAGGAGGCCAGTTCCGTTCTGCGAGCCCGGGGAAGACTTCAGCGACACCATGGCCTGTACAGGATTGCGCCGGGTTCAAGGCTTGTTGTTTTGACTGTGTAGTCCCCCCTTTCCGGACCACGGTGCTTGCTGGTCCTTGGGTTCAAGGATCGGGCTTTTTTTTTATGCCCTCTTTTTCAACCGCCCCTAGGTTAGTCGAAATGCCACATCTGGCGGAGGGTTGGTTCGGGGAGCCATCAAGGGGGTCACCACCACACGACAATGCCCCCATTACTCCCAAACAGCTAACACGGATGCAAAGTATCAGGCACAGATGATGCTCCACTATCTCCCAGCTAGTTACCTGGCCCCCCTTCCGCAGTTGCTACCAGTGACAACCAGCAACGTCACCTCAAAACTCGATACCATAGAGATCCACCCACAAGAAGAAAGCAGGGGTTCCGGGTTTGTCTTGTGCCTCTGCACAATTGCAGGCACCGATGCTCACGGTGTGGGAGGCTCTTTAAGATGCTGCTGCAGGGAGGTGCATCCCGTAGCACCCCGTAACGACGAAACTCCCGCCCTAACTCGACCCCACTGCTCCGAAACTTCACACCGGAACCCACCAGAACTTTATTTGAAACCCTTCTCCGCGAGGAAACCCCGGGCTCTCACCACTGGGCTGGTTCTGCCGAATACAGTGGCCTGGAATATACTAGAAGTTACTGGAACAATGCTTTGGGTGCCTTCTACAACTCTACACTCTACACTAATTGAAATGGAGCCCTCAGGAATCTTTCACCCACCCAGCCACCCGTTCCCGAAGCCTCGGTGAGCTCCTCGGCCGACTTTGCGCCGAGGCCTTCCACATTGGACTCGATCTCCTTGAGCTGCTCCTGGCGGAGGCGGGGCTCTTGGGCTGGGATTCGCGTGAAAGAAGACCCAACAATGTAGGGTAGGAGTGTTCGGCTCCGACAGACAAAACCGAAGCCGTTCAACTACTCTGGATGCTCCTCCATGTTGTCCATGTCGATCTCGCCGTCCATCTCCACCACAGTCACATCGTTGCCGAACCAGTCGTCATCGTACATCTGCGGACGGTATCTAGGCTAAAGGTCCCTTTGGCAAACCTTGGCCCGCCCCGAAGATTGTACACGCATGCAGTAACTCTCGCCCCCAGCTGGAAACTGATGGGTCGGCATTCCGCTTGCACATTCCGAGCATCTCCCGGCCGAAAGACGAAACAAAGCAAACTCAAGAACCTATTTCGTTCCAATCACGGCGGCCACTCCGAGGCCAGGAAATCATTTGGGCCGTTGTCCGGTCTGTGCGTGCGAGAACTGGGGGTTGGAGCCTAGTACCTAATGTACCTAGCTCTTCGCACAAGGGCGGAGTGGAGGCCGATGGTGCTCATGATGCTGGCGCCATAGACTGCAATGCTCCGCACAGCTACCGCCAGAGACCCCCCCCAGTGATGCGAATGATGCTCGTGCACGGGTGCACGTGTAGGCAATGGCGGCGGGCCAGCCCATGCAGCAAGGCACCAGGTTACTCTACTTTTTCGCTGCCCTGACCACTGAACAACTGAGCATTAATGTCGAGCTGCATGCACTCCAGCAGGATTCTCTCAAATCTACAAAGGTTCTCCATTGGTCTACAAACCAAAGTTCCCTCAAGTCTGTCAAATCTTTTATGTGTTGGACATCGTGCTTGCACCGGTACGATACCTCCTCAGCTACCGTTGCAAATACTTCTGCTACTATGTCGTCCTTTGCGCTTCTGTCATTGCCATTGGCCATTACACGCTGTTTGACCGGTCTTGGCAAGCTGCTTGTCATTGTGCGTTTGTTTGTTATGTTTCCTCTTTTGCACTCTTCTTCGTCCTGCAACTCGAGACTTCGCTTGCCTTCAGGGTGGCACCCGGCTCGCTGCCGGAGAGGCTCAGGTCCTGAAGGCAATTTGCTGGTATGATCTTATGGTCTCGGGGGCTCAGGGGCCACACCCAAGGAGAGTGCGCGGCAGCCGGGCGTCGGCTCTTTTGGTGGCTTTGGGGCTTTGGGCTTTCGGTGTGCCATGCCCCCGGCTGACGGCCTTCTTCAGGGTGACCATTGGGAATTTGCCACCCTTCTTCTGGATGAGCTTGACCTGAAACAGAGATTGCCAGTACTGCCGTGTCATTAACAATAGCAAATGTCATGGTCATGATGACTACAGGTCTTGCTCTTGTATGCTGATGTATGTTGTAATCATAAATCGCGCAAGTCTGACTTGAAACTGCCGATGCTAAACATTGAGCACTCAGCGTACTCCATAAGCACACATTCAGAACGTGCCACAACCATCCCAAGGCCAAACTGGGACTTCTACTCGGAACTCTCTGCAATGGCAACATAGGCTCGGACCACATGGCCGCGGAGCCTATGAAGCCAGGCCCATACATTCGTCGAATACAGCACTATGTCCTTCCGAAATCCTTTACAAAGCTGATGTGCGCTCCGCCTTGAGGAAGGGAAGGCCCTTGTCGGAAGGCTCATAGCGCAGCACCACATCCGCGTTGGCCTTCTGGGGGTCCACGTACTTGGAGAAGTCAGGGAGGCGCTTCTCGATGTCCTCCTTGACCTGTAAGCTTGAGATGCCTTGTGTACCTTGTAAGCATGCCGCTGCAGGCTACGTGAGGCTCGCTTCTGGGGAGGCCAAAAAGTGAGAAAGAAAAGTGGAAGCAGGCTGCGCTGGGAAACTGGCCTGCTCCTCCGTCCAGCCGCGCTCGGCCACATCGCGCTGGACCTTCCACGCGAACTTGACATCGTTGACGATGTCAATGTAGATCGCCAGGTCCAGCTGCGAGCGAGCCTTCTCGTCGTAGATGGGGTGCAGGCCTTCGAAAACCATGACTTTGTTGGGCTCGATGAGCTCAGGTGGGTCCTTGTTGCCGGTGTCATGGTTGTAGATGGGCTTGTAGACCGCCTTCCCCGTCTTCAGGGCCTCGATCTGAGCACCCATGAGAGCGAAGTCGTTCTCCCGGGCATCCAGGGCAGTGAGGCCGGTGGCCTTGCTGCAAATTGCAAAAGGCACTTCTTTCAGCCGAGCTCGCAATTCCCAGCACTCCAGGCCACTCTGCCTAGACTCTCTCTCTCTCTCTCTCTCTCTCTCCCTCTCTCTCTTCATCACCCACCCGGTGTTCCAACTTCAAACTTCAGGGTCAGCTAGGTCCCCGAAGGGCTCACCTTCATGTCCGCGGGTTTGGGGCCACTTCCTCCCTCAGCTCTGGTCAATCTCAATTCCAGCGGGTTGGGACCGCTCGACCTCTCACATCGACAACAGATCAGACCATCCTAAGACAGAGACCTCTGGCACTGCGCGCTCTGCCTTTGACAGCTGCGGCGGGACTGTGGAAGTTCTACATGCTCCCATGCCCGGATTCCAGGGATTCAGTGTAGATCTAGCGCCAGGGAAATGACGGCATGCCGTTGGCCCTTGTACTTTTCGTGCCTCTTAAGTCTGCGATGCCCAGACTTGTCCCGTTGGTCATTAGCTAACATGACGATCTCCGACACCCGGAGATCTCTTAACATGCAAGGACCGACAACGAACGAGGCAGCTGGCCTTGCGCCCAGCACGGTCGTTGGTGTGGTAGTCGTCCAAGCAGATCACGGTCATCATGTCCCCGATGGCCGTGTGCCCGGGCTTCACCTCCGTGCCCAGGGCGCCAAGGATGCGTCGGAGGAAGGTGGACTTTCCACATCCCGAATCGGCTGCAACGCCCACGATCACCGGAGTGTCCTCAAGCTTGGAAGAGGAATCCACGATGGGGTCCATCTCATCCTTCCAGGCATGAGTCGGGTAGAGCTTGATGCCATCCACCTCACGCAGCTTCTCTTCTGCCTCCGGCGAGGGCCAGACCAAGCCCGTGGGAACACTCTCCCCACCGGCGCGCAGGGCAGTGCCCTTGCGCTGCTGCGCCGAGGGTCCCACAAAGCTCAAGGCGTAGACGCCGAAGAGGACAGCCACCAAGGGCAGGGCACCGGAGTTTGAGCGTCGGGACATGGCGACACGGGCTTTGGTCTAAAAGGGGGGGCAGGTGTGCTGAGCCAGAAAGCCGCGAGGAACGCTCTCCCGCGGGCCTTTGCCTTCATGTCGGCAAGAGTCCCTCGACTGCCGTCGCTCCCGGTGGTGCCTCCACGTCTACAGGGACCGCAGGCGCTTCCCGTCGAGGGAACTTCTTCGCGGCAGCCTTCGGGCGAGGACTCAAAGCTTTCATTCGGGGCGTCTAGGACAGGAGCGGACAGCAATCACAACGATATCCGCGCCTCGCCCTCAGCGGCCCCGCGCTTCCCCCTCAACGGGGCTGCTGCATCGAGGGCCTGCGTGACAGGCTGCGGGAGCTGTGCATGGTGGGGTGATGACATCTTCGAAGAGCCCCAGACCCTCTGAGCGCTGTTCCCAGCCTCCTTCCAGGCCAGGAAGAGCGGCTTCTTGGTCTCCAGATGTGCTGCATCTGGCTGCAGGACATCCACGGTCTCCTCAGGCCTGGCCGAGACGAGTAGGCATCCGGGGGTCGACCAAGAACTTCAGCAGAACAGCCCGAACAGCGCTCTGAAATGCTGAGTGCTGCGAGGCTGCTGCTCTTCTGAAAGAGCCAATGCCTGCGGCCATGATCTCATACGGAGCAGTATCTTGTGGCCCACAACTGGTGGCTGCAGAAGACTACAACTCGATGTGGGTGAGCGTTGGACTTCAGATCTCACGCAGCAAGTCAAGTGTGTCCTGCCTGCACAGCTGCATAGTGCTTCTGCAGAACCTGATCTGACCATTGACCAGAGAGACAGCATGCAACTCCTCATTGAGCCGGGCTCTCTTGGAAACCCGAGAAGTTGCGCAACAAACCCAGAAGCTTAAAACTGACGTCAGAATTGCAAGACAATCCCGGACAGTGAGCCCGAAGCATAGACGGGAGAGATCCTATACCAAAACCTTCACTCCAAGATCTTCCGAAGCCTGCCCAAAACGGCCCACAAGCGGAGCGGCCGGGTTCTCCGCGCAGCCAGGCACGAAGTCGGGCAGTTGCAGGGACCGGACCACCTCTCTGGCCCTCTCCTGACGTCTTGGGGGGGGGGGGGGGGCGGAAACTTCAGCACTCCTCTTGCACCTCTATCACGGGTCGTGAACTGCTTCAGTGGCCCGGGTGTGAACCCGCTTTCACCTGTATGACACGGGCAGAAGCCCTCAACCCTAAACTCCAAAGCACTAACCTCCCCAACCTCATACTCTGCCCTAGAGCCATGAAGTATCGAATCCCATGCTGCACATGTCCACCTCACTGCCACTTAGCTCTATCCTGACATTCGCTGGAGCCCACGCAATTCTTCAACAACCCAGAACTCCAAACTACCGATCTCTCTTTGTCGCTTTTTCTCCTCTTTGTCTTTCGCCAGGGCTATGGTGCAGGAGGGTTTACCCCCTGCACCGCGCACTCGTGCGCCCCCGACAGTTGCGGAAGACATTGGGGCAACACGCTACACCACGGCAGTCGGGCGCCTAAAAAGGAAAAGGCTGCCCTCGGCTACTGGACTCCGGCAAAAGCGAAAGTGCGACTCAACAGGGGATACAACTGAAAGAGAAAGGTAAGGAGTATGTGGTCAGGGGTATTCCCCGATGTTTCGTGGTTCCTGCACTCATTGACCAGGTTTCGAAAGCCTTACAAATGAGTGACTTGGCTCTCAAACGAATGCAACCACCGTCCTCGCTGCTAGCAGGGGCGACAGCCCTTTTGGCTTGCTTTGGAACGGGCAAAGGAGAGAAATGAAGGTTGGCTCAGCGGCCCGGCGCATAGTACAAACCGAGCTTTAGGCTCAAGGCGGTGTGGCAAGTGGCAAGAAGAATGGACAAGGGGAAGGCAAGAACCTCAGGGGGTCATTTACCTTCCGAGGATCGAAAAAGACTTAAAGAATCGTTAGGGCAGCTCATGGACGAATTTACACTGCCGCGGTCATTTTTCCCAGGCCGCTTCTCAGTGCTGGTCCTGTCGTCGCCGGTCAGGGCTCCATTCCCCCGAGCGTCGCTTGTCGCATCTGTAGTTGTGGTACCGCTCCTTCGACTGGGTTCGATATCGCTTCCAAACCATCTCACCGGTCTCTTCTCCCTCCCGCCTGGAGATCTCCCCTGTTTCGAAGAGTTCTTGAAGACGTCGTAAGCCTGGATGGCGTTCCGACTGGCTCAGGCGGAACCAAACTAACCACCGCCTTTGAGGGTTCTCCCCCTGTCCTGCTTTTGTCTTCCTCTGCGTTGTCGTCGTTTGTGTTGTCTTCAGGTGCATGCATCCTTGGCTTGCTGGGGCTGAGCAGTAAGCAGGGAGGAGAGCTTTTTTCGTTGATGGCGTAGTTCATCTCTGCGTCGGCAAAAACATCAACTATGGGGTGCAGTCCCCTTTGGTCCAGTCCAGCTTTCTCCAAAATGACATTGCTGTTGTTGTTGTTGGGGTCATGCCCGGCAAACTCTTGATAGAGCTCGTGGGTGTGGATGTTCAGAAGCGTCTGGTTCATGGCGAAGGCGGAGCCTTCCAATCCGGGGTTTTCCTTTCCCTCAGGGGGTCCTTGACCAAGTGCTGTCACCTCCAGCACGACGTTGTTGTTGTTGTTGGGGTCATCCCCAGCATATTTCTGGTAGGGCTCGTAGGTGTGAATGCTCTGAATCGTTTCGTCCACAGCGATGGCAGCGGAGCTTTCGTGCCTGGGGTTGCCCCTGTCCTCAGGTTTGGCGATCAGGAGAGTTGGCGCATCTGGAGTCCTGGATGCGTCATCTGCTGGGTTGCTCCCCTCTCCAAATATGTAGTAGAGCTCGCTATTCGAGGAGTCGGGAATCACTGCGTTCATGCTGGTCGCCTCAAAGTGAGGCAGCTCATTCCAAGGTACGGCACGTAACAGCCTAGGGGAGGTAGAGGTCGAAGAAGTCGTGGAGGAAGGACGGTTTGCCTCGGTCTCGCCTTCAGCCAAAACGTCGAGCTGGGCGTGCAACGCCTGGATGCGGTGCTGAAGCTGAGTCGCTGAGGTACATTAACAGCTCCTCCTCTTCGGCTTGCACCTCCCGGTCGCAAGTAGCCTCACCATCCCGCGACCGAAACGCCAGTCGCATGTCCTGGACTGATCAGCAGTTCTGGCACTGTTTCAAGCTCCCTTTAAGGCTTGCGTTGAGGGTGCAGCCTAGGGTGGTTTGCATTCCAGGCTTCGGGTTGTAGAAATAGCCTCGAAACAATCCGACAGGGGTATCGTAGAGTTCTGGCTGGCCTCTGTCGAGATGCACTTGCCTGTGAACCCAGAACGGCTTGAGCCAAAATGGCTACTCGTTTTCTTCTCTCTCTCTCTCTGCTTTCCTCGGGGTTTGAGGCGGGGGCAGTCCCCGCTCTCTTTCTCTCACTTTGCTTCGATCTTTCTTTCTTTCGTGCGTTCCTTCTGTCGTTCTTTTTTTCTTCGTATCGCTTCCTTGCTTGCTGTGGGTCAAGGGCCAGGCAGGCTGGACCCGCGCCCAGGCCCCCCCCCCTCTCCTTGGTTGTAGAGAGAAGAGGCTTTGGGGTCCGGTGGGCTGACTTTCAGCCCCGTGGGTCGATTTGAGCTGAGGTCGTCGGTTGCTGAAATCCCCCAACCCTGAAGTTTAACGTGCATCCCGGCCTCGTCCCCGCGCGCTCTAAGGCACCATCCTAAGTCCCTGCAACAACCGACTTCAATTCAATTCGAAAAAGTGGAAGATACTGCCAGCTGAGCAAAAGCAAGACTGACTAAGGCTTGGACCAACACGACTAACCAGGGCTTAGCGGGCATCCCCCTATTAATTGCAACCGAGTGAAAAGGTCGCGGTGCTACGGTCAACAAGGTTTCCCCGGCCCTTAAGGCAAGGGTGCTGTGTTGCAAGAGATGCTTGTTGAAACATGAGTTCGCGTAAGGTCAGGAGTGCCAGCGTCAGTATCACACACCATCAGGAAAAGGAAAAACGCTATCAACGCTAATCAACGCTACCCGCTACCTAGCTTGTGGCATCTCCCCCTTTTGCAAGTGGGTCGTGGCTTACTCCGGTCTCACTTGGTCTTCATATCGCTCTATCTCTCTCTCTCTCTCTACTGGGCGTGGGGTCGGCAGCAGCATCCACGCCACCTTCCCCGTGCGCGCACGCACACCCGCGTTTCACGGGTGGTCCTTTGGTCCCCTTCGGGGATAATCCCTGAAGGGGTTCGGCTTTACACAAAGAGCGAGGTGCTCCCCCGTCCTCAAAACACAGTTTACAGTTTACAAGGTGAAGTGTGGTTACAATCACTGGGGGTCCCCTCGCTGGATGGTGCCTGTCCCTCATTCTCCCCCTTCTTTGTCGCTCTTGCTTGCTTGCTTGCTTGCAGGCGTCGTTTGGGGCATGGGGACGGACCCCATAACCCCTGCGCGTGAGCGCTACGCCTGGGTCGCTCTCTCTCTCTCTCTCTCTCTCGCTGCTTTGGGCTTGACGGGCTGGCAGCTCTCTCTCTCCCTGTCTCTCTCTCGCCGTGACTTATCTCTCTCTTTATTCAAACATCGCCCAATGGTCCCAACAAACAGGGCCTTGAGGTTCTCGGGCATTACGGCCGGGAAGCCGTCTGCTAAGGGGAAACCTGCAGCTCGAAGAAGCTCTGGCTTAGGAGTTTCAGCAGTGGCAAGGAGAGTGATGCAAGGCTGCGTCTGAAACCATTGGAATGCGTTTGCTGGGAGCTGGCTAGCTTTATTGGCTAAAGGTTAGCCTATGTTGTACTAGAGACACGGCAAGCCTTGATGGTGATTGGCTGATGAACCAGCGCTGCATGGCTGGGAATGTACCCTCCCTATCACATTCAAGACACCCTGTTCTCGATGGTTGCTTTGCAAGCAGATCACATGTCTACATATTACACAGAGCAACTTGACAAGAACTCACACCGTTCTGACATGCGCCCAAGAAACTCAGCTGCCTTATCTCCTGCACATCGGCATATGCTGACACTTTATCGGTTTAGTGCTCTAGAAGTTTCCAAGGAGTTACATGTGTCCAGATTCATTGTTGGAGTCCCGTCTTCTTGTTGCAATCGTTGTGCATGCCATCGAACATTGGGTCTCTGCGCGGGTCATGCACTCAGAAGCAGAAAGGCCTTTGGAGCTGTAACACCCGCCTCGGTGCTGGGGAACAGCCCAATTCGCGTAAGGGGATAAAGTCGGATAAAGCCTGGACTCCACGCCGCGTCCTCGGCCCAAGGAAGGCGCACCATGTGGAAGCCCGGTGGCTGCCTCTGATCGCCATCCTCCTCGACCTCTGCCTGCGTCCCGCATCCCCGGTGGCGGGAAGTGATGCTTGCAAACCTGCCTCTTGCTAGGAATGCAGAAATTGAGACCGAACTCATATGTCTATTCATCTGCTACAAGTAGGAGTTGAGGTGCAACGACCAAGCCTGCGGTAGTAGGGCAACCAGAACTGGCTCGCTGTTGCGCCGCGCGACGTAGCTTGCCAAGGCCAGAACCTTTCGCTCCAGCATGACGCCTTGACGGCTGAAAGGCTTAGGATGGGGAGTGGTGCCAACAGGTCTTTCTGCAACTACTAGACGGTGTACACAAATGGCTTTAGGTAGCTTTATTGTAGATTTGGAAGATTCGGGGCCGAGCAGCTCAAATTCCAATGCCTGTAAAAAGGCGTCTGTGTGAGGTGAGGGCCTGGATTACAGTCTGGAATGAAGTGACCAGTTCGGGCATGTTCGATCAGAGATTCCTCTTCGTGCTGGTGGGATCCCTCCACATGCCAAGTTGATGCCAGGGAGCTGACCAGAGAAGACAGCAGAGCTGCTGAGCCTGTAAAGCCTTCCGGTTCGCGGGAGGGAGGCTCAGGGGACGTTGGAATGAGGGTCACCCCAAGAGGGCTACATTACATAATCCTCACACGTTCCTTGAGGATGTGTGTATCAAGTCCGAGCAAGTCATGGGCAGAGCTCCTTGCCTCGCTCATTCGGGTAGACAAAGTAGGCATGGAACATGCGATGATGATCCTGCAAGGAGCTGAGGGGCCTTGGGTTCTCAACCATCAAGTCACGCGGCAAATGTCATAGCTGGCTCATAAAACACCACTGCACGCGTCGAAAGGAGACTGACAAGCGGCTTGAAACCGAGCACCCGAAGCGAGGGATCGCCGAAGTGCTTTGCCTCCTCACACGTTGCTGGGATCAAGTTGTGTGGCGAATGAAGTCAGCTCGGCTGGCAACTGCAACTGCACCCGTGCTCCAACCGTGGACCCGGCAAACTGCTCAAGTCCACAGGTACACAGGGAATCTCCTGTGTCTCTGCTCTCGTTACGAAGATCCGATGGCCCGCAACCTGGCGTGCAACAGGGCTGACCGCTCTGGTCACATGACCTCAACGCTCAATTAGCTACCGACCGTGATAAAGACGATAATGAACTCTCTTGACACACCAACACTGCAACTCTTCAACGGCCTTACACCTCCATAACAAACACCTCAAAAGGGGAAAGCATTATATCCATGCCATCCGGGCAGTTACGATACAGATGCGCTGGCCCTTGTGTTTAGATGTATCGGATGGCTGGGGCAGTCAGCCGCAGTCCGTGATCTGATCGTATATTGACTTTGCCACAACACGCACAGTCGCCCATGGCAAATGAACAGGACATGGGTTTGCATCGTCATCAATCGGTCGCCCTGGGCATGTTGATCTCTCTTTCTATTTAAACCTACGTTGTGAAATCTATGGTAAGATCCGATTGTCTCACAACACGAAGCACTCCGGGGCAACGACACGATGAATTTGAATTTGCCACTGATCTGGGTAAATGCGCATGCAATGACTGCGTGCTCGAGTTAGAGCTCTGCTTGCAGCTATCTTCTTCGCCTAACTTCAAGAATCTGAGGCTACGAGCATCATCTTGCGCCTTGCATCCCGAAGCTTCAAGGCGCTACGACAGCACTAGTCGCTTGTGCAGCACTTGTCATTTGTGCCTATCCAAAAGAAGCTTCATTGCTCATTTCCCATACCCTCCGCCTCCACATACGTGGCGATGTCATCCACTGGGTGCAGCAGCGCACCGGTCTGCTCACAAATCTGCTTTGATTCTGCCTTCAGTGGCTTGTTGTTCTCCTGGGAACGCAAGCAGGTGCGGATGCCGCACAACAGCACAAAAGATTAGGATGCACTGCCGGTGGGTGAAAATGAAGATTGCTCTTGCACAAGATATCTAGCCGCCTTAAAGTAGGCCTTGAACGAGGGAATACATGCCAAGCATCGTTCAGCAAGTAGACGGGCGGTGGTACTTTGGCTTCGAGCATGGTGACAAACACAGAGACAGATGCTTCAACACCTTGCGACAACGTTCGCTCTCAGCAATACCGCAAAATCCAATGAGCTACTTTGCTCAACGCCTTCAAGACGCCTTGATTCATGTAATCTGCCAAGTGCTACCAAAGCACCTGGGCAAAGGTGAAAGGCCAACCTCTGCAGCGTGCGCTTGCGGTGCGTTCGCATCCTCACCACTCTTTCTACATCCTTGGTCTGATGACTGCAGGCAAAGCAAAGGGGCATGATGTCACAAGATGATGGCCAAAGCTGCACATTCTGGTGTATCTTGAGACTGACAATGCAGCCCTCAAGCAACTGCGGAAAAAGGTCATGCTTGGCCTCGACAGAATGAAGAAGCTGCTGCCCAAGTCTTGGCCACCGAAAATCCTCAAAATCAAACTCGATTCCCCAACCATAACTCTGCCAGGCCACTTCCAGACGCACCGCGGCCCTTTGCAAATAGTCTGTGGGGTCCACAGGAAGGAGCTCGCCCCAGAAGCGCTCGATGCTGAAGTCCTCACCATGCAAATCATCCGGCGGAGAGGCCCTGTGGCTGTTAATAGTAATGGTGATAGTAATAGCAATAGGAATAGTAATCATAAGTAGTAACAATAAGAATAGTAGGATCAAGAAGGCAAGGATTGGTAATGGTCACGATATGCCCTGGCAGTACTTCTGTATAAAGTCTACAGTACCAAGCATACGCTTTCTTCGGGTGCATGCTCGCTTTGGGGCTTCTATGATCTTGTTTCAAACTACTTTGAAGGCCCGTTCCCTGCTGCTTAGTCGGAATACCTACACGGTGAAGCCCTATACGGTGAAGCAGTCAGTGTGACCAAATACGAAGACTCGAAGCTGCTCAGAGCGATAGCGCGCTTAACCCTAAGCTGCCAGCCGAATGCCCCAGCAGAGCGCGGGGTCTAGACAAGCTCTGCATGCGCTTCAAGCAGTTCTGTGTCGTGCCAGAAGGCTAGATACACAGTTCCTGATCGGGGAAGTGCAGGGGGAAGAACTCCACCACCACACCCATGTCCATCAGATCCTGCTGAGTGTTTCCAGCGGAGGTTCGATTCAAGCTGTGTGAACGGCTGCATGCAGCACAGCGCAAGCATCATGAGTTCAAGCACTGTGGAACGGCTGCGCGCAGCACCACGCAAGCATCATGTCAAGTCACGTCATTTTCAACATGGCACAGTCATTCCCAAGAGGCGTTCCAAAGCATCAAAACGTGCCAAGACTGCAACGCGTTGCTGCACCTGCACGCGGGTACGTGCTGCCGCCAGTTCTTCCCGTGCCGCAGAAGGCGCGTCGTTGCACGTGAAGAGGAAGATGCGAGAGTCGAACTGCGCCCTGGAAAGATTTCCCCCCTCCCTGAGACTACCGAGACTCGGCCCTGCCCTCCTATCTCGAGATCATCTTTCCAGGCAAATGCGCTGCATGCCCAGTCCGATGGACTTTGGACTGACCCCTCTACAGAGTCTACAGAGGCCGAGGCACTGGTTTGCACCCAAATTGAAAATAGTCGTAGATGTCCAGAAGACATCCTGCCAAGTCAGCAAGCGGGTTACTCGTATTGGCTACATTGGCTCCCTGCTGACTGGCGGATGCTTTCCAGCCACAGTTCAATCATCTCGAAACGTCTTGCTGCTTGAACGTTGGCCGGTCGGGTTATCGTTGCCGAGATCAGCACCCGAATATCCAGATGCGGCCAGGTAGCTGAAACTGGCACCGCACGCCCGACACCTGTAGGGATTGGGGATCAGGGGTGTTATTTAACCAGTTGAGCTCGTTCTGGTAATTTCACCTACAATGCCAGGAGTCTGAACTGACTCGCGCTCGTTGCTTCTGCATCGTACACAAATCTAACGAGTACGTGACTTTGACAATCTTTGACACACCACTCGAGAATCATCAGGTTTGGGATTTTTCCTGTTGAATGTCAACTGACTGTCTGGACAGAGTACGTTCGGACCGGCCTTGCACATCAAATCATCCGACAATCACGCTTGAAACCCAGTTGCAGAGGCTCTGAGCCAATCCCCGAAAATACGATATCCTGGCTCAGACCTGAAACTGCAAAAAGAAATCAACTCCCGAACCCAACACCTACCGAACTCCTGCACCCTGACATCCTCAACTTCTCACCTCCTATCCCAAACACGCCTCAACATACAGCTGTCCTTATACCCCTCAGTCCTGACAACCTGAGTCCCCGACCGTAGCGCTCAGCAAGCTGCGCAGGGGTGCGGCTGGACTCCTGCGTTGAGGTGACCCAGTGTTGGGTTTCGCCTTCTGCCTGAGTCTCTTGGTGTGGGCCTCCGCTGTGAGAAAGTGCACATGTTCCAGAGTCCCGTGCCGGCACTGTGCACCCGAACACCGACTTGCACTTTGGCCCTCCCGTACTTGATGAATCACGCTTTTGCCAGAGTGTGCCGCATTTGTGCTGCAGGAATGGCGGAAGCATGCTAGCCAAGAAGGAGCAGTGCTGCAAAGCTCAAGGAAAGCCATCGGTGGCAACTACATGACAGCTGCATATATACCATATTGTGCAGGCGACCTGCTGCAGCTGCTTGATGCGCTGGGCCTGTAAGAGTCCGTAACCGAGGAAGGGGCTGATTCTGAAAAGTTTGGAACTCGGGCTTGAGTGGCTACATATTTTCCAGACCTTAGGGCGATAGCTCGGCGTCGAGGCTGCATGACACACAAAGTTCTCAGCACTCCTTAAGTCCGAATAACCTGTCATGTGCAACCAAAGCTGCACTGGGGCGGTCGAGGTCCTCACGAACAGCATCGATTGGATTGGGCGCTCAAATGTGTAGTGGACAGGCTCTGTGCTGCAACTGAACATTCACGTAATAAGCGAATGCACCCACCTGCATCCAACTTTAAACATCGTCGAGACCCGATCGAAACAAGTTTCGCCATGGGCAAGCCTGAGCGTTTAGTGTACTTAATCACGCACCCGGATCGCTCCAGCAGCAGTCGAATGCCATCAAAGTTGTTGGGGTTTTGCTTCTCCCGGACACCGTACAGGAGGACCCCGACTTTGTCTTCCTGGGATAAACGCATCACTCGTGGCAGAGCCGTGCCATTTGTAGATCTACCTAGCATCTTCGACGAGTTTTGAACTAGAGACAAACCACGCAAACCGATGCATTCAGGGAACTGCAATTATATGCATATTCACCTATTATATTCGTACATGTATTGGTGGTTTCCTCCTTTGTTTATGTATGATTCTCTGCTTCTGCTTTTGTATGTATTCATTCCCTTCATCATTTCTTCAGACAAATTTACCTGTATGCCGAAGATGCCAGCCCCTCCCAATGGAACCAACCGCGTAGAGTTCAGTGTACTCTGGCCAGTAATCTGAAATTAAACATGGTGCATAGCGATTCCTTGCTGTGAGGCGTTTAAAACAATAGTGTTCACAAAAACCATGCATGTGCCATACCATGATAAACCCCATCACCATGCTGCACTACGACATACTTTGTTTTGCACTATCCCGTCATGAACTTTTGGTACTATGTAGTTTAGCCAAGTGATGCATACAATGCTTCTGCAGCTGTTGCACACGGTCATAATTCGACAAGTCTCTTCCGCATGGCTTTCTCCCATCCTACCACGGCATGAACTGAAATGTCTTGCAGCCGTGCTGCTGGGCTGGAAATGACCTCGACAAGTATCAGATTCTTGGGCTCTTGGTGAATCATGATACCAGTAGAAACATGCCGAGCATTCTGACGAAGATTGCTCGTAGTACTTACGACACGCTACTGAAGTATCGTTGCTGCTTCTGGTGGTCCGTTGCTACGATTGAAACACCTTTAGTTCGTACTCCTGCTGCTCCTCTTGCACTCACTATGATGCATACTCCGGCTACTGGCACTACTACGATATCTACCGAAAGCAAACGGCTGATGCTGCGCTGATGGTAAAGCTGTTCTCTTGGTGTTTCGTATTCCTACTCTGACACATGTATGCTTCTTACTTCTAACTACCAGTACTAGCACTACTGCCACTACTGCGACTACGACGACGACAACGATCATTTCAGTGGTTCTGTGTTCTCAACATCGCTGAGTCGAAGGTCCCAGGAGCTTTGGCTTTCAGCACCGAGGCCGCAGATGCCATGGCTTCCTTTCAGAGACGAGCCAGACACGGGACGCTTTGGGAACGCACCGCCGGGTGATGCCAGCGGCCCCCCCCCCGCATAGTCTGAGGTGCAAGTGCTGGACTGCAGGGAACCCAGACCACTGAGCCCTTCCCTCCTACACATGCTAGACATGCTCACATCCAAGTCTCGGCCAGCAGGCAACGGCCATCGGGCTTCAGAGGCTTAAGGCAGTCCTTGCGGCGAACGAGTGAGAGACTGTGGGGTCGGATCCGACTGCGTGGCAGGGTTGTGCAGGTCAGCTTCGGCCTACTTGGAGGTGCCGCCAAGACCAGGGCTGGTTTCACCCACATTAGACGTGCTGTTTCACTGTATCTCGCCATCTCGTGCAAGCAATCTACGAGTTTGAACGAGCAAAAGACAGCAAGATTGGGTCCGTTGGGTCACTGCCGTCAGATAACATGGCTTGGGTGTGCGAGTACTGTGACATACTGTGACAAGACTCCTTGCTGGAGGCATCGATGACAAAGAGCACTGCATCCTTCAACTGCGGGGTGTCCTGCGAATCGCAAGCTCCCAGCGTGAGTCGCGTTGGTCTTGCAGTATCCGTCAAACGTAAACCCCTATTCTGTGTTCGGTGGACTGGTCTAGGTGTCCATCGGGTCTTACGCATATGAAAACCGTGAGGCAGGCATGCGGTGAAGGCCGTCGATCCAAACCAATATGAGAAAAGCACAAAGCAACAGGGCTAAGCAAGATTAGTCAAACGAGCCCCAAGCGTTTGGCATGCGGCCCTGGTGTTACGGTTCGGAGTTAAAAGCTCGTTTCTTCGTAGCAGCAGCCTGCGTTCAGAGGTGTCCCACACCGAGTGCGACGCAAGCTGCGTAAGCAGCAGCTTGCTTGGCTGCCTTGACCTTTGGCTGGGGGTGTCCTTCAAAGACGCTGTCGTCAACAAGCACCCGGTACGAGAAACTGCCGCTGCCGCGAGGAAGCTTTTCGTAGTCCGCGACCGACTGTTTTGCATGTGGTCGACTTCGCCTCTGCATGTGCAAGTTCAGCTTCGAGACGTAGTCTTCATTGGCATTAAAAGCCTTCGGGTCGCAATGCTTCTGGCACTTCGGAGGTCGCTCCATGCCTGTGAGCCTCTCAAGGACTTCCTGACGGACCCGCTCAATGCTCGCCAGGTCCGTTGCCCAAGCACCGGTTTTTTGAGGGCACTGCTTCAGCTTGGCATCGATCTCATGCGTCCATTCCATTCTGACAACACGCACGTGGTGATGATTACACAGCGGGGCAATAACTTTAAGCAGAAAGCAGCGGCGATTATCTGCAGAAAGCCAGATATCCTTCTCGGGATCCACATCAGGAGATCGCCGCCTGCCCAGCAGCTTCGCAGGCCCTTTGCAAACCCACACCATCGGAAGTTTTGGGATGTCGTGCGGGCGCCGCACCAGCTGAATCATGGTCTCCAGCACACACCGGCCATTAGAAAAAGTCTTACGGACGGTGGCCTGAGTAGGCATTAGGGTATCGATGTCAACCACCATCTCCTCCAGCTTAACCCGCAGACCGTTCGGAAAGTCCGAGTGTGTTCGGGCTGCCGGATCGAAGGCAAAAATCGGCTCCAGTGCCGCCGGCCCCGGAGTGCTCCAGCAATTCACAGCTGTCGAGGAGGGACTCAGGTTCCGAAGCTCCTTCTGCAGAGTGGATCCGCGTGCCTCTACCTCTGCGACAAGCCTCTCCTCCTCGGAATCACAACACATGACCACATATCGACTGTTCGGATACCTCGCTCGTCCTCGAGCTTGAATGAACTTGATCACCGTCCGAGCCGGCTCCAGTCGCACAACGACGTTGCAACAAGGGATGTCAATCCCTTCTTCTGCAACGGAAGTTGCCACCATCACGTTGGCATTTCCCGAACGAAAGTCCTCGAGAATCTCAGTCTGCTGCGCGATGGTCATGGTGTCCTCCTCTTCGGCACATCTTTTGTTATGGCCCACAAGGCAGGTAGGCAAGAGCCAGCCCAGCTCAGCTCTTTCTGCAGCTACCGACTTCAAGGCTCTCACCATGTTCTTTGCAGTGTTTCGTGTTTCCACAAACACGATGCAACGAAACTCACCAGAAACATTCTCTTGTAGAACGGACAGAAGGCAGGTAAAGCACGGAGAAAGCCCGAGTCGGGCGGGCTGTCTCAGCTGGTCCCAGCTAGGCTTCAGCTCCGCAGGAACTTCAGGCATCTTGACGTCCTGAAAGGCTGTTGGGTCCCATCCGAAGCATCGAACATGCGCAGCAAGCTCGGCGACTCTCTTCATCTCAGTCGTCACCTGAACGAACTCATGGCTTTCAGGCGACCTCAGCTGTTTCCGGGGCCTGAAAGCCCATGACAAACCAACACCAGCTGCTAGCTCCACTCCCGACACAGCCTGAGCAGCCAAGAGACAGTGCAGACTGCACCCTTTGCAGCTCTTTTCTTCGGGTCTCTGCTGCAGCTATGAAGGCGCGGAACTCTGGGCTGCAAGCGACGGCCTTCTTGAGCAGCACCGCTGAGGGCACCTGCTGCCGAAGCTCTGCTCCCAACTCCTCCGGCACTTGCACCAGCTGGGCTTCCAGGCGCTGCAGCAGCCTCTTTGTCTGCTCCACACTTTCCTGAAGCGACGCAGATTCACTCGCAGCGGGTCCCAAAAATCTTCAGCTGGCTCTACCTCTCATGTTATATCACCAAGCATCAGCAGGCGAAGCCGTCAAGCCAAGGAGTTTCGGTCGCTGCAGCGGTGGTTCGTTAGCATAGGCCGTCGCGATGTGCGAGTAGTCATGCCCACCATTGCCCCGCTTGGCCACTACATGGTGCACCTCCTGAGCTGCATGAAGGGAGGCTATGGGAGGATGGCTCAAGACTCAAATGCCTGGAGAGTGTAGCGCACCCTGGCTGTGCCTCTTGTGGGACAAGCATCGTCCAAAATGATCAAAGACACCGCGCTCAAATCCCCTCCTGCGATATCCGCTCGGACGGAGCCAGGCGTTGCGAAAACCACGTGGCAACGTCCAAGGTTTGTTCTGCGCCCTCCAGCAAGAATGCCAGCTTCCATCCGCAAGTTTTTCGCCCTAACCTCTGTCTGAAACTCTGCATGCTGCTGCCTGACCAGGGGCACAGTAGGAGCAAGGAAGTACACCAGCTTCCCGCGATGCCGTTTCAGGGCCTCCCAAACCAGGTGGAAGGCTATGAGAGTCTTGCCGGCTCCTGTTTGAAGATGGATCACATGGTTTCCAGGCCGCACCACCTCTGCGGCCAGAGCCTCCTGGTACCTACGCAATCTGGACATAGCGATGTTACGTAGGGCCTGCGCTCGAGCCACTGCGGCAGCAAGGTCAAGCACATGTGTTGGACCTGCTCTGACCTCCCTCGCAGATTTCCTGAAAGCAATCCCATGAAGGTGCGAGCTCCTGCGGATTTGGGGCGCCCAATTCATCTTCCGGCTCGTCCGGGTTTAAAGGATCGCCAGCCTGGGCGAGCGGTTCAGGGCTCTGAGCTCTAGTGCAGAAGGATCTGTTGTTGCCTTTATTGCACGACTCGCTTGGCGGCTCTTGGCCCCAGCGGATTCCCCGTCCCGGCCCCTCCCTTCTGAGCCAGAAGTCCCTGCCATCGTAGTCCGTGGGGTCAAAGTCCGCCATGGCTCAGGACGGAGGGAGATTTAGTGCTTAGGGAACTTGGAGTTGCAGCAGAGGGTTCTGGGTTCCTGTGCCTCTGGCTCGAGCTATGGGTCTTTTAGTTCTGGCAGGCCAGGGAGCTTGTTGTGCCTGATGCCCGGGGTTCGATATTGGGGTAATTTGTTTGCTCAGTTTGGGACACATGGCGCTCGCGTCTGATCCAGACAGTGTGCAATAGTCGAACGAGATTGAAACTAGCTCGAAGACGCAAGCCTCTGCTACCGAAACTCTGACCCGCAACGAAGACTGCTCTCGTCAAAAAGACCCAGCAGGGACCCAGCCTACACGAGGCAGACGGAAATGTCGGTGCCCTTGGCCTCACAAGATCCAAGGGCCGTGTTGCGATGATGACGATGATGGAGATGATGGTGGGTAAAATGGCAGAAACTCGGATAGCCGATCTGCTGGTGGTCAACTAGCAAAGATAGTGAGATGCGTTCTCGAGCCTGGCTTTACAGCTTCAACTCACTTAGACCCTAGATCGTGCGTGAAAGACTCCCCAAACCAGGAGAAAAGAAACACTGAGATCATGCCCCCGGAAGCCCTCCAGGAGTTCAGCTCCGTCGGGCCTGGAGGATTCATCGAAGGCCCCAGGGTCAAGCAAGGCTGTGACCCGAGACGACGTGAGCCTCAGCCGTGGATCACGGAAGGATCTCAGGGGAGAAGGAAGCAAGAGCGTCCGTCGTGTTCTGGGTTCGTTTAGAAGGAAACACTGGGCAACTATCGCTGCTTTGCTGGCACCTGGCTCGGAGGCTGCATGACTCCCTATGCTGAGAGCTCTGCCGCAAGGCTTACGACTTATGGGTACTCCAGAACCAGTACTGAGCTGAGAAGCGGGTAAACAAGTCCACTCCGAGAGTCATCATGTTGCCTTCTGCGCTAACCATGTCCGCGACAGGGTCTTGAGGTGTCGAAAGAGGCAACAGAAGCTGCGCAACCTGCATGCGGCAGACAGGGCTTCCGGGACGAACTTCAGAAATCACGATAAACAACTGGAGGAGGATCCTTGCATATAGTGTGTGGCTACTTCTGGCATGAAACTTTCCACTGCAGAAGTTGCCACTTGGCAGGAGCGTTTCTTCTTTCTCCCACCGCTACTCCTCAACGAGCACTATCTTCGGAAGATCTCAATTCGCACCACACCTTCTCCATCACCAGCAGTAGCGGACTGCACGGAAACTTGCGACCAGCCTGACAGCCACCCAAGAGAGAGCCCATACACACACAGCTGTCGAAACACTTTCGTGCCCGGACCTGCTTCGACGCATCACCTTGCTTCCATTCTTCGAGGCCATGAGGCCAGGCAGCCAGGCTTGGAGACCGGTAGTTGTAGGCAAGCGAGGCTGCCAGGGCGAGGACGCCGTAGTGGAAGGCTTCGGCGAGAAGAGCGAGCAGCTCCTCGCCACCGTGCGCGGCTATCCTGCAGACCATACCACGTACCTCAGCCACAAGCTTCAACATTCAGGCGGCGAGAAAGAAAGAGAGAGGGAGAGAGGTAATAGAAAGAAAGACCGATGCAAGGAACATGTGCACGCACACCACACACTTTTGTACCTGCAAATCTGCATATCCCCCCACCTACCTACTTGTACACCTGCTTACCTACCTACATATGTGCGCATGTACATCCATGTCCTCATGCATTACGAACACACTGGCCCTTTTCCAGGCACGCAATGCGTGTAGTCTTGATTCCCATGCATACATCTACATGCCGTACCTACAGGATCGAGCACCACCTCTGTATTTCTGCGTGTGCATTTGAGCATCTACATCTACATATACCTACCAGTAAGTATGCCAGCATGCGCGCATGCATGTATCTACGTGCATACATCCAAAGGTGTGTGTGTGTGTGTGTGTGTGCGCGTACGTCTTTGTGAATGAATGAGTGAATGAATGAATGAATGAATGAATGGATGGATGAACGAATGAACGAACGAATCAATGAATGAATATGAATGAATGAATGAATCAATCAATCAATCAATCAAGGAATCAATGAACCCATGAGTCAATGAATCAAAGAATGAATGAGAATGGATGAATGTAACGTATGCATGTACGTATGTACGTATGTACGTATGTATGTGATGTATGTATGTATGCATGTATGCATGTATGCTTGTATGCTTGTCTGCATGAATGCATGTATGCATCTGTGTATGTGCGTATGTATATGCACGTGCTTATGCAAGTATGTACGTTTGTATGCATGTCTTTACGTATGTATGTAAGTAGGTATGCAAGTACGCATGTATACATATGGGGTGTTTTGTTTGCTCGTGTGTTCGTATGTGTGCTGTCTTTACGTATGCAAGTGTGCATGTATGTGTGTATGTATCTATGAATGCAAGAAAGCAAGGCTGTAGGCATGTCCCTAGGTTGTCCAAATATATACATATACATATTTATTCATATGTGTGTATATATATATATATATATATATATACGTATATATACACATACATATATATACACATACATATATATACACATACATACATACATACACATATATATATATATATATATATATACGTATACATACATATCTTATATGCATATATGTATTTAAATATGTATGTATATATATATATATATGCTATATCTACACATGGACCTATACATCCGAAGGAATGCATGCAGGCATGTGCCTGCATACATACCTACAGACAGACAAACAGACAGACAGACAGGCAGACAAACAGACAAACACACAGACAGAAGGCAGGCAGGCAACCAGCCAGCCAGTCGGGCAGGATGCGGATATACAGACGTACAGACAAACGAATATAGTCATACATGCATTGATACATACCTGCAACATGCATACATACACACATAATAACACATCCTACGTACACTCAACTTAGACTTAGACATTAACCTACGTGCACACACAGGGACATGTATGCACAAGCACTTGCACACTGGCGTACATGTGCGAACAGTATATGGGCAAAGACATTGACATGCTCAATTCAACCGCGTCCGTCGAGTCCGCGTGGTAGTTGGTGCTGCTGGCCGCTACGAAGATACGTGATGCGATTGTTCCCATATCATATATTTCTAGAGCGGCTCTGCCATTCTGTGCTGGTCGGTAGTAACACATGAGAATAAGTGTTAGCAGCCGTACGCACAAAGTACTTGCTGACTGATGCTGACTGAGCCAGCACAAGATATAGCAAAGCGCCACTTGCAAGACTGCTTCCAACTCAACCGAGACACGTCAGCATCATCCCACCGAGCCTGTCAGCGCATGCTGCTGCAAACGACAACGACAACAGCGACAAAGACGACATCAGAAACAGCAGAAACCATCACCAGTTCACTATCCTGTCTAATCGAATCCAACCTGCGGCCACCATCGTCATCATCATCAGCATAAGCAATGTAATCAAAAGCATCAGACGCTGCACACATCCTCCGTTGATGCCAAGTTTTGGTCAATGGTTTCCGAGCTTGAGTACGGGTCTCAGGCCGAATCGCTCAAACAACAGTTGCCTGGAGAATGTGCAGGTGTGATGGTCCGTACACAGGACAAGCCTTCCAACATCTGCTCCTGACCACTGCGAATCGCTGCTTCTTGCCGCCACCACGCCTTAGAAGTCTTAGAAAAGCTTGAAGCAAAACTGGAGAAATACAGAATACAGCGTAATCCCTCTCAACGGGTACGATCAAGTAATCACAAGGTTACTTATTACGAGGTCACCTCGCATTCCTTGTCGAGAGGCTGAGCTCCAGAGCCTGCTAGAAGCTTTCGCCCGGCTTTCCCAAAGCACACTTTGCTGGCGCCGACATCTGCCACTTTGAAGCAATCTTTTTGTGCCGAGACTTCGATGCCCCGGGCCGAGCACCGGAGTCCATGCCAACTGCAATAGAAGGGTTTAGGGTTTAGGGTTGAATGTGATATCACAGCGTTGGCATAATATAGCAGTGCGCTCTATGTCCAACTCGTTCATAGATGTGATCCGTGAAGTCCAGGGCTCCATGAAGAGATCTTGACATATTAGTCATTTCCGGCTGCAGTCCGTGAAGCAGTTGGTACTTACCAGCACTCACATACTGCGGTTGAAACAAGACTCCAAACCCAACCAAAACAGAGGAACATGTGTAGGATGTTGGAAAGGATTGCAAAGGGGGGCTGCGCCCCGGCCACCCCCCGCTATTCTTTAGACTGCAAACTCCTTGCTTTTATGCCACGGAAAACCGAATAATGCGAATAATCACGTCCTTTCCATTACATATATAGAAACGAGAACCACACGAAAACGTTTAGGGGGTCTAAAAATGAACAAAAAACAATCATACATGAATGAAAAGTCTTCGAAAGAGCAAAAAATCCTTATGTTGGATCACATTGCGAAAGTCAGACATAGTAGTTGAAAAATGAAGCAGAGCTCTGTTAAAAAACAATCCTGAATGAAACGTGTTCTGAAGATGAAAGCTAGATTCGAACCGAGGATTCAAACACCGGTGTTGAATCCCAAGTTCAAACACCGGTTACTGCCACTTACGACTCATGCTTTCGAACACCGGTTTGTTTCTGGCTTCGAACATTGGTGTTTGAACTCAAGATTCCAACACCGGTGTGAATCCCAGATTCGAACATCAGTGTTTGAACTTAGGATTCGAACACTGGTGTCGAACCTGAGATTCGAACACTGGTTTCGAACACTGGAATTTGATTCTAGATGCAAACAACTGTTTACAACCGGTGCAACCACTCCTCCAGCTTCTCTTCCACCCACTCTCAGAGGTTGCTTCTCAAAAACACAAGAAATCTCTTTCTGGAAAGTAAAAATCAAAAAAAGAGTCTCAAGGCCACATCAAATTAGAGAAGAAGCTACCAAACAAAATCGCATTTTTAGATAATGAAAACAAAAAACAAATCTCAACAAAGCACCTTGTCGATGGCGCCTATTACACCCGGTCCGACAAAGAAAACTGAGTGAAGTGAAGAAAAACGGTGAAATCCTGGCTGTACGTGCCCGAGAAGTCACACCTGTTCTCCTCTCTTTCCACTTTCCAGATGGACCTGATTGGTGTGGTTCATCGCACAATGGAACCTGTGGAACGGCCATGAGAGGGCAGTCCATTGTCCGATGGGATTAGAATGGCTGCCGAAGCTTGGACTTGGCTCCCCCCCTGTGCCCGGGTAGCCTAGGCCAACCCTCTGCTGCTCCGGATCGGCTGCTCAGCCTGACCTTCAGTGGGCATAGCCAACTTGCCGCAGTCTAACCACGTAACCCGGTGCGTGCGTCTTGGTTTCACCTCTTTTGCAAGTCATTGTGATTTCGTAATTTAGTTAGGGACTGAGTGCAGCTGTTGCACGCTTGAACAAATTATCCCAAGTTAAATCGACTAGGTCATGGAAAGTGGCGGGCAGTGCTAGGATTTTCAAGGGTAAAAAGAAAGACCCTACCCTCTTACTAGCTATCGCCCCATCTCGTTGAGCAATAAGGTCTATGAAATTTATGCTTGCCTTCTTCTCTGGACTAAGTAGGCAGCCATCGACGATCGCATCTCCAAGGTACAATTCGGGTTGAGATCTAGCAAAATCAACATCATTTGTCGTCCTACGACGCTTCTTTAAGCCAAGGCTATGAACATCTTTTATGCCCTTTTCTAGGACGATGACTGGTCACAAGCATCTGATTCAGTATTTAATTCGGCTTCGATCCATCAGGATATTTTTTTGTTGTTACACAAGCAGTTTTTCCATGACACTTGGAAGCATATCGGGACCCGACTGTCACTACATCGCTTTCTCCGCACGTTACAAGCCCACTCCCTCGAAGAGGAATGTCCTTGAATTTTGAAAAGGGCCAATTCTTGGCCATCGATTATGACTTACCGGTCTACCGTATAGATACCCCACATCGCCCTGCCAGTGCGCTTTGCCAAGTCAAAAACTTCCCATACATATCGAATTGATTCTACCTCACGTGGACTACTTGCGATCCGTCCTACATACAATTCGTCGGCAAAAAGCGGACGAACAGAAAAACGTTATGCGCAGGCTTCTTCGCGTGGCCAGGTGCCTCCATGATTTTTCAAAAACCTATATACTTATGAAAAGAAAACCATGAGTCCATTTCCAGATCGTTTTAGCCATCCTACTGTAAGGCTCGGAATCGCAGATGTGTTTCCAATCAAGCCTCACCAACTTCAACAAGCTCCACTATAAGGTCCTACGTCAAATCTTCAATGTTAAGCTGCTTCAACGAGTATCTTTTCCAACAGCATACGAATGTGCTCCCAAGTTGCTATCTCCTTCACAGCAAACCATCTCTTCTAAAATATCGTATTTATGCACAAGGTCAGTTCACTTTTGCTTTGTTGAATTTCAGAAGGATTCCAGTTTTGAGCAAACCCGGCAGAAAGGCAGTCATATCGGTTTGGTGTTGTGCAAGGCCACAAAAGAG